AGAAGTACAATACGACCCACACACTCATTTAATCCAAAGCATATATTAATAACATCAAAGTTAGCAAGCCATAGGTCAAAGTGTCCCCAATTCCAAAGGCATTCTGAACAGATTAATTCTGAACACTGAATGATATGTCACCGGCCTTTTCACTTTTGTAGAACATGGGAAAATTATATATAAAATGAAGAAACAACATGAGCAATGAATTCTCCTAACTATGCTAGCCTTTACCAAAAAATTGACAGCAAATAATAAATAGCTGAGCAAAACAAAACATAAAAACTTAAGATGTTGGGAAAGTCTTATCCAATTCCACTAAAGAAACTGTAGACAGAACTATTTCAGAGATGTCATTTCTTACTTTGGTACATGTAGAATAGAAAAAAAAATAGCAGTCTTCTCCTTGATTAGGCATGCTGGGTAGATTCTCAGATCAGAAGTGGCTCCTTGAAACAAGCCACCGCTTCCTCAAGGCGAGGACCAGCTCGAAGTCCTCTTGAGATGGGTTTTATCTTCCAAATGACAACTCAGTCACAGAAATTGTCTTTAAAATGTAATCCTAAAATAAGGAGACAATGAATTAAAGTATTTCAGGTAAATTCTGCCAACTTCCTCCTCCAAATCACCCTGGCTAATGAGGTCACATTGTTAAAACTGGATTTTAATTATATTAACATGCACTTACCTATACAGAGCCTTATAAACACATTGATTGTGAATTTTGTACATTTTCATCTACAATGTAAAGTTTTTATTCAGGATAGCCATACCCTTCTTTCTTTTGTATTCTCTATATGCTTGTTACCTTGCTTCAGCACTGTAAATTAAGTAAGCATTACTAACTAAACAAATGATCTACATTTTAGATTATTAATGTGACAGATTATTTTATACAAGACACTTGATAAATCTACATTTCTGAAAATCTAGATTTTTTCCATCTAAATGAAAAAAATCAGAACAGGCACGGTGGCTCCCTGCCTATAATCCTAGCACGCTGGGAGGCTGAGGTGGGAGGATCGATTGAGCTCCGGAGTTCAAGAACAGCCTGAGCAAGAGTTAGATCCTGTCTCTACTAAAAATAGAAAAAATTAGTGCAGAGTACGGTGGCTCCTGCCTGTAATCCCAGCACTTGGGAAGGCTGAGGTGGGAGGATTGCTTGAGGCCAGGAATTCGAGAACAGCCTGGGCAACACAGCAAGATCCTGTGTCTGCAAAAAATTAAAAAATTAGCCAGACGTAGTAGCACACACCTTTAGTCCTAGTTACTCGGCAGGTTGAGGTGAGAGGATCACTTGGGCCCGGGATTTCAAGGTTGCAGTGAGCTATGATTGTGCCACTGCACTCCTGCCTGGGTGACTGAATAAGACCCTATCTCACAGCAACCTCAAACTCCTGGGTTCAAGCAATCCTCCTGCCTCAGCCTCCCAAGTAGTTGGGACTACAGGTGCATGCCATCAAGCCTAGCTCATTTTTTTATTTTTAGTAGAGACACGGTCTCACTCTTGCTCAGGCTGGTATAGAACTCCAGAGCTCAAGCGATCCTCCCAGAGTGCTAGGATTACAGGCATGAGCCACTGTACCCGGCCTCTATGGCATATGGGAAGGGAAAGAAAAGGGAAGGGGAGAGGGAAAAGGAAGGGGAAGGGAAAGGACAAAAAGGAAAAAGGGATAGGGAAGGGGAAAAAGGGAAGCAAACGGAAGGAAAAAGGAAAAGGAAAGGGAAAGGAAGGAGCAAAAGAAGTCTTCAAAGCCCCTTTCATAAATAGTGATTCAACAAAATGACACTCTGTATTTCTACAAACTCGAGCATCAGAAGATCAGGTTTCAGAAACAATAACCTACAACCTGAAATCAATTAAAACAAATTAATCACATCTCCCACTAATAATTCCTAATCCAAGAATTGTATGCCATGATGAAAATTAGCCTTAAAGTCAACAATCTAAGTTGCGAGTAAGAGTCTACAACTAAACATGTATCAAAATCTTTAATATTTATGTTCCTTTTGACCCAAAAATTCCATTTCTAGAATTTATCCTAAGGTAAAAATAATCAACAAATATTCAAGGTAATAATATACACAAGAAAGTTCATCACAAACTTGTTTCTAATAATGAAAACACTCAGAAACCCAGATGTGCAAAAACTGGAAGCTATTTAAAAATCTATGGTACCTCCACATAATGTGACAATATGTAGGTAGCCATTACAGAGTTTGGTGGCAGAAAGTGGATGCTGCTGTAAGCAGCTTTGGAACTGGGTTGTAGGTAGAGGCTCGAAGAGTTTTAAGGTACTTGACAGAAAAAGCCTAAAAGAAACTGCTGCTAAGAAACATGAACATTAAAGGTGCTTATGGTGAGATCTTAGTTGGAAATGAGGAACATGTTATTGGAAACTGTAGGAAAGGTGATTCTTGTTACAAAGAGGCAGAGAACTTAGCAGAATTGTGTTCTATTGGGTGGAAGGTAGAACTTGTAAGCAATGAAACTGAATATTTAGCTGAGGAGATTTTTAAGCAAAGTGTAGGGGGAACAGTGTGGGTTTTCCTTGCTGCATATAGGAAAATGCGAGAGAAAAAAGACACATTGAGGCAAGAACTATTAAGCAAAAAGGAAACAGAACTTGAAGATTAGAAAATTCTCAGCCTATCCATATTGCAAAAAAATGAGGATGCATGCTCTGTAGAGAACACCAAGGGTATGGCTGGACAAGAGTTTCCTGAAGAGATTAGGTGTGACCGTGTATCCAACCAACCATCTCAGCAATAATGCTGCCAGCTTGGAATGAAAAGGACAGACATGTACGGAGGGAATATGGTAAGAAGACACATAGGGAGAAGATGGCCATCTGCCTGGAGTGATGCATCAACAAGCCAAGGAATGCCAAGGACTGTCAGCAAACACCAGAAGCTAGAAGAGGCAAGGAGGGATGATTCCCCTAGAGGTTTCAGAGGGAGCATGACCCTGCTGACACCTTTTCAGACATCTAGCCTCCAGAACTGTGTGGCATTTGGTTATGACAGCCCTAGGAAACTAATACAGATTACAAACATACCCAAATGATCTTTAACACATTGACTGCCACACTAGAAAAAAACAATTTTCCCTGGGGCCACGGTGTTTTATTATGAAAACAAAATTAAAAACTTCAAAACCAAAATGATCCTTTCTAATTTAATGAAAAATCTGTTATTTTCTTATTCTCTGTGCATGAGATATATGCAACTAGAAAAATAGTTCATGTAGCTCAAGGTAAAGAGATGTGAGAATTACATATGCTTCGTGAGGCCCCAGGCTCAAAGCTTAGTGTGAGTTAAATACAATTCACATGGCAGTTAGTGTGTTAACAAAGAAACAAAAATTCAGTGGAGAAAGAATAGTCTTTTCAATAAATGTTACTCAATCAACTGAATATCCACATGTAAAAAAATAAATCTAGATACAGACCTTATACCTTTCACAAAAATTAAAATGAATAACAGACCCTTAAATATGAAATGCAAAACTGTAAAACTACTACAAGATAACATAAAAGAAAATCTAGGTGACCCTGAGTTTGGTGATGACTTTTTAGATTAAACACCAAAAGCATAATCCATGAAAGAAAATATCAATAGATTGGACTTCATTAGAAGGTCTGCTCTGTGAAAGCACTGCTGAGAATGAAAAGACAAACCACAGGCTGGGAGAAAATGTTTGCAAAACACATAACTGATAAGGATTGGTATCCAAAATATACAAAGCACTCTTAAAATCCAACAATAAGAAAACCCACCTAATTAAAAACTAGGCAAAAGATCTGAACAGACACCTCACCAAAGACATACAGATGGCAAATAAGCATATGAAAAGATGCCCAACATCATGTCATTAGGGATTGCAAATTTCTTTTAGAATGACTAAAATCCAAAACACAGACAACATTAAATGCTGATGAAGATGTAGAAGCAACAAGGAAGAAGTCTGGAAGACACAAACCAAAATGTTCATAGTAGTTACTGTCAGGGTGGTAAGATGATAGGTAATTATTATTTTGTTTTTATGCTCAGAATTACATTTTTCTAATATAATCTAATATAGACAAAATAAAAAATTTAAGTCTACCCAGCTGCCCTGACCATCAGTGATTTGCTTCAGCATGAGACAAGGGCTGGACCTCAATGATCCACTAGTTGGAGGTAATCCTCCCCTGAACTCAAAGCCAGGGAATGCATTCTGCATTCTAATGTACACCAAAAAGTAATTTTAAAAATCACTTCAAATGGGGTCAAGTCTCCAGGGATATTCAAGTAATTATAATGACACAGATGCAAAAAGGAAAAGTATTAATCTGAGGAGAAGGAAAAAGCTTAATAGAAAAGCTTAATGTTTAAAGGGGAATAAAAAGCCTAGAGGTAAATTTTACTCCTGAAATCAACATCCCAAAGAATACATATGACTGTTACTGGTTTCAGGAAGACCCTCAACAAATTAATGAAACAATAAAATGGTAGCTATGAAATGGCAACAAAATAACATGAATTACAATTTTTGACGACTAATTTTCAAATTTAGACTCTGCAAAGATCCCTCAGAGTTAGGCACAGTGTGGGGAGATTGAATCCTGAGTAAATGGACACCCCCTTACTAATGTTTCAACAGAAAGTTCCTTCATGGCTCTGTTTTGCACACTAAGCTTCTGTAACT